TTGTAAAATTGAGAAGTTTGAGCCAAATGGATTCTAAAGTTTCTTCTTACCGAAACGTTTTATTGTTTATTCAAAGGCTTAAAAGACTACAATGCTCATTACATTACAAGCATCTCAAATAGAGGCGGCCAGCACCAAGCATGTGAGGGAGGAAAATAGGGTTTATTTATCCATGTCTAGTACATTACATGCTGCAGTGTGGAGTTTGAAAGCCTGTAAAGGCTTTATAGGAAAGCTGGAAAGGTGAGGTAATAAAATAGGAAACTGGAGCCTGTGATAGATAAATAAATATATAAAGGAGAATGAAGGAATTGATATCATTTGCTCAAGAGAAATATGAAAAATAGCCTAGCAACAATTGTTGCCTAGCAATAATTTTTTAAGTTATGCAACAAATATTTATAGCCCACTGTGGGCCAGGCAACATTCTTATCAAAGATCTGAGAATGAGACGAATGAAGTTGGATTAAGCTGTAGCTAATGCTCCTTTTAGGAAGGAACAATTCTCCATTGTGGTCAGATGAATTGGGTCAGGCAGGGTGCTTGGGAGACCTCCTGTTGTACTTACAGGTGAAGGTCGACCATGTTTCAGATGGTTCAGGAAACTTCTCACCTAATGGCGCTGTTTCCTAAGCGCTCTTTGTAGTGCCCTCTCAAACTGAATCTGTAATTTCTTTTCCACTGTTGTTCGCTTTGTCACCAAAAAAATAGAAGACAAGACTTTCGGCCGATCATGGTGACTCATGCCTGTAATCCTCACACTTTGGGAGGCCCAGGAAGTAGAATTGCTTCAGGGTCAGGAGTTTGAGAGCAGCCTGAGCAAGAGCAAGACCCTATCTCTACGAATAATAGAAAAAATAAATAATGGGGCATGATGGTACGTGCCTGTAGTCCCAGCGACTCAGGAGGCTGAGGCAGGAGGATAGCTTAAACCCAGGAGTTTCAGGTTGCTGTGAGCTATGATGATGCCATGGCACTCTAGCCAGGGCTACAGAGTGAGACCTTGTAAAAAAAAAAAAAAAAAAAAAAGGCTACATACTCCATTTTCTTCCCCAGTACATGCTAGAATTTGGCATGATGGGGATATAGGTGTAACAGAATAAATAAGATAGAGTAGGATTTCAGCTTCCTCTGAATTATGCTCTCTCAGTGTAGTGTCATTATTTTAAAGGCCACCAGCTCCCAGAATAACCTTTTTCAAGGCTCAGCATCCAAATGCACTGCAAAGCTGTCATCTTTGGGTTCCATGATGTCCCAATGATGAATCAGCCTTCTGCTTTCTATAGTCGCTAAACCCCTTAAATGGGCTCCAGGATGCTCCTCACCACCTTGCCCTTAATTTAGCACAATAGTGAATAGTGCTCTGGTGAGGTTCACAGCATGGAAATGATTTTGAAGCAGCCCATTGTGTTGAATTTTCTCTGCCATTTCTTTTGTTATTTGAATAAACAAGAGTTATCCGTGGTTTCAGTAGTTTTTCTCCTTTACATTTTTATGAAAGTAAAAAAAGAGCACAGTAACAGTTTTACATTTATTTATTTATTATTGCAAAAGCAAAAATATAGAGTGTTTAATATGACTTTGTTATCAAAAGAAGCCATTGATTTATAAACCCTATAGAAACAGGGTCTCAAAACCTATCTTACCTGTAATATTAAGCTAATTAGGTATCCTATATCTTAATGATTGCATTATTTAGACTTTATTTGATTTATACCTTCTTAAATTTGAAACAACAGGCTTAATTTACTCTAATAAGGCAGCAATTTATCCTAGTGGATGAAACAGTTAGTGCAGCTTCCTAAAGTACCCAAATTCAGATAGCATGATATGAGAATACTGTTTCATGGATGGAAATCTCTCTAAAACCTTCCTATTCGAAGTGTGCTACATGGGCATATACATCCCCTAGGTCAGGGGTCCTCAGACTTTTTAAACAGGGGCCCCAGTTCACTGTCCCTCAGACCGTTGGACGGCCGGACTATAGTTTTAGAAAAACTATGAACAAATTCCTATGCACACTGCACATATCTCACTTTGAGGTAAAAAAACAAGCGGGCAAAAACACCTGCATGTGGCCCACAGGCCGTAGTTTGAGGACGCCTGCCTAGGTCCTTTATTTATTAAAAAAATTTGTTCTGTAAAATTTGGATTCAGTCAAAAGGATCCAGAAGGCCATATGTAGCCCCAAGGCTGTGGGTTCCCCACCCCTGATAGGAGTTTGTTAGAAACTCAGTCCGCATGCTCCCCTTTCCCGCCTACTGAGTCAGAGCCTACACTGTGACTATAAACCCCACGTAACTCATGCACATGTAAAGTTTGAAAGTGGCAGCAGCGTGGTTCCTTGTAAATTACATTCACTTTTGATCTGGAGTAAAGGTAAACCCAACAAATATGGAGGATTTAGGTAGTTGGAAAATAACAAATTATAAAAGTGTAAAAATTATAGAAATTTTTGAGGAAGTTGGAAATATTGGAAGGAAATAAAGTAAAAATTATCCCAGAAAATGCAAACTAATATATATGCACAAAATATTCTGTAACACATAATATTTGGTGAAATTGAACATGGAAGGGCATCATGGTACCTATGACGTGGGGTGATAGTAGACAGAAAGCCAGAAGTTAATCAGTAATAGATCACAGTGGTCACTGTTCCATAGCCAGTTTGATTCATTAGAGATTTCCTTTAAAGTAGAGCATAGTTGAGGCTTGTGTACCTCTCGTGCAGTTAGTGACCCTGTTTGCTAGAAAGATAAAGATATATCAGAGAGTGTTTGGAGATGGGCTAGAAGATTGATTATGGCATAGGAAGAACTGATTTATGAGGACAGAGAAAAATAATTAAATGGGCAGCACTATGCTATAAAAAGAGGCTACAGAGACGTGGATATTTATCTAATGTTTCTCCAGTGCTGTTTCCTGTACTATCTATCTGAAAGATGCAGAACTGTAGGGATGTAAGGATGCCAAGAAATTGGTTACAAGGCAAAGCAGTATCAGCCAGAATTACTTGATTAAATTAGGAGCAGTATCAAAGATTAAGCTTCAGAAAATTTTACCTGGTGCATAAGAAATGACCTTGAGCAGGAAGATTTTATCCCTGAGAACTTTTTAAAGCACTGTGGGCATAGAATGGAACATCATTTATCAAGTTGTTGGATTATTTCCCTGAAAATAGTTGGAGCCCCATCTCTTGAAACTTCTCAAATAAAGGTAGAGAAAATATAGGATGCTACATGTGAGAACTCTCTCCACTTCTGGTAGAGACTTTGGTAGTTAATGAATGACATTTTTCTTTTGCAATATCTTTGATTATTACTGATATTGCCATACATGGATACTTCCCCCCTTCAAGTTGGTATATAACTTATTTAAATAGAAAATTCAACCTTCTAGAAAAACATCTAGAGAGGGCCACTTCACCGGGCCTTCACAGGAGGGCCACTGTCTCCTTGAAAACCCTGTGACATTCTCTTTTCATTTCTCTTCACTCTATAATTCATTAGGAGATACAATTCACAATGTATCAGGTGTGGATTCACTTCCTTTATTCATTTCATTCAGAAAGCTAAAAAGACAAGCCCAAAGTGCACCTGGCCTTTTTGGAGCCATTTGTCAAATGGCTGCAGAAACTCTGAAATCATTTAATGCCTCAGAGAGTTTAGTGATTCTTTTTACCAGGATGAACCCAGCTTGTGTTTGCCAGGGAGCAATGGTCTGAGAATATCACATTTCCTTCTCCCTCCCTCAATAGACTTTCTTTCCCCCAGTGATATGCTTCGTCTCAACAAGGAAGCCCAGAACCCCAATTCCATGGGTCAGAAAGCAAATAAAACACAATAAAATAATGCAATATTCTAATTCGTTGCTTTTTTCTCTTGCTAATTCCTTCAGAGACACATTTATATTGTCTAGGAGATCTAGTTTAATGTAGGTGCTGATAAGAATAATTCATATCAAATATGTTGACTGGAGATATTAGATATACTTCTTTATGCTGAAGTGTGGGAAGATTTGTTAAACTGAAATATTAAGCCACATTAATTAAATTACTTCAGGTATCCCATAAGTGAACTGGGTTTTTTTTATGATATTTTAAAAATATTATTTAATTTTATTACTTATGACTTAATGTACCTACTTTAGTTTTAAGAAATTCTCTTTGCCTGTAGCAAAAAGTTTTTACCCTTTTCCTTCTTGAAAGATATCTGGAAGGGGAAATAAAAATGGTCAGGATTATATTCTGCTTTTGTGTCCATAATAGAAAGATAATCTACTCTATATCCTGTTTTTGTGAACATGACTCTAACAAATTGCCAGAATCTTACATGTGCAAGGAACAATGGTCTTCAAGGTGAAAACTAATTGAGAGAGTAAAAAATAAAATTTACAGGTTGCAATCTTCCTTTTTCTTCTCTTGCTTCCAGACTGTTGTACCTACCAATAGGCGGGGGGAATCTTTTTTCTTTCTAAATCATTCTACTCGTGTCGTATTGATTTTCTCTCAAGTACACCCTGTAGTCTCAGATGATCACATATTTTCTTACCTTACTCATATTGATACAGCACTTTGACTCACAGGTTGACATATTTTACTTGAGCTGTGATGACACTTCCCACGTTGACATTTCCTGGTGGTGGGATGTACTAAGGCCTCTTATGCAGGAAACTTAAGGGAACAGGCCATTTCACAACAGTATTTTCCTTCTTTGAAAAGCAATTATTGTTCATCCCAAATGGTATGCTAAGCCCCAGTCTGTGTTGCTTTGCATCTTTCCTAACCCCTCCAGCAATGTCTTGAGTTCTTTGGTGTCTCTGCTGATAGAGACAAAAAAAGTTCTTCACCTGGGTAATGAAATATTCCAGTTACACTGTTTGTAAGAAAAATTATATTGGTATGGTGTCTGAAAGAATATAGTTGACCTGCCAATGTGCCATTGCGTTTACTGTTTCCTACCTTTGTATCTTCTCTCATCTCTCTTCTCCCTCTGTTTTAGCTAGCCGTGCGGTGGCTGGAGCACAACTGCCACTACCAGTACATGGACGAGCTCCTGCAGTACATCCGCTTTGGCCTAATGGATGTGGACACTCTCCATACAGTTGCCCTGTCCCACCCCCTCGTCCAGGCAAGCGAGACTGCAACAGCCCTGGTCAATGAGGCCCTGGAATACCACCAGAGCATCTATGCACAGCCCGTCTGGCAGACTTGCAGGACCAAACCACGGTTCCAGTCAGACACTCTGTATATCATTGGTGGGAAAAAGCGTGAGGTCTGTAAAGTCAAGGAACTTCGGTACTTCAATCCTGTCGATCAGGAGAATGCTCTCATTGCTGCCATCGCCAACTGGAGTGAGCTGGCGCCCATGCCTGTGGGAAGGAGCCACCATTGTGTGGCAGTCATGGGGGACTTCCTATTTGTAGCAGGTGGGGAAGTTGAGCACGCCAGCGGCCGGACGTGTGCCGTGAGGACTGCATGTCGCTATGACCCCCGCAGTAATTCCTGGGCGGAAATAGCACCCATGAAAAACTGCCGGGAGCATTTTGTGCTAGGTGCCATGGATGAATACCTCTACGCGGTTGGGGGCAGAAACGAACTGCGCCAGGTTCTGCCTACGGTTGAGCGATATTGCCCCAAGAAGAACAAGTGGACTTTCGTTCAGTCCTTTGACAGATCCCTTTCATGTCATGCTGGATATGTGACTGATGGTCTTCTTTGGATATCAGGTAGAACATGCCTCCTATGTTGGATTTATCAAAAACACGTTCATTGTGGTATACATTTAAAAGTTAGGCTTTGGTAGTGTGGCCGTGTGTAATTGACAGATTGAGCCAGGCATGCTATTTTAGCTAATTAACATTCATTTATTGAGCACCTACTCTAGGGAACAATGTAATTGGAAAGAATGGGCCTTTCTGTGACTTTCTGAGTGAGCAGTGGAGTAAAAATTCAAGAAAGAAATTAATGATTCATCACACCTGTTTTTCTACCAAACCTTCTAGTGTTAGCTCTTGATTATTCATGGATTGTATTGCACAACTTGTGGTTTATCTAAATCCTTTGCTTTTTATTTCACCTTTGGCTGCCTGGCTAGGAGCTGTCTGATCAAAGTTAAGGCAGGAAAAATAAAAGCCCAGTAAATCCATTTTGCTAGTTGTAGCAATGGGTGTGTATCCAGGTAATAGCTATGCTGTGCATTGAGGGAAGGGATTTAAGTTACTAAAACAAAGTTTTTGTATTATCTGTGCATAGTCGTTACTCATGGCATCCTAATTCTTCATTCCTATTTACTTTCCCATTCTTGCTGATTATTTGGGGATACCTTTTGAGCTCTATTTTATTATTAACTTTTTGTCTTTTTAAGAAAATGTCATCGATTATAGAAAAAGTAGAATGGCTAGGAAAATGAACCCCATGTACCCCAATCCCAGATTTAATAGTTTTCCACGCCTTGCCGGTCTTGTTTCATCCACACCAGCATGCCCCCACTCATCCCTCTTGGCTGCCTTTTTGCTTGTACAGAAGGAGTATTTGAGGCATATGTTATCAACATCACATTATCAGCCTGTGATGAGAAAGGCCTGAAGTGTTCCCCTTTGAAAGGGTTTCCTATAGGGGAAGAAAGTTGTGTCTTCTCTCTGTTGGAAGATACCCATTTTGTAACCCAAATGGAACTTGTTGGATTTCTGTGTCATCAAGGCCAAAGAGGAATAGAAAGGCCAAATAATTTAAATATTAAGGATAACTTCGATTTTTCTTAACTTAGAAGCAATGATCACTTTTAAGTATACCTTCGAAGGCTTCTCAGCTTTCCTCAATCATCATCTCTAGTTTTTTAATACCTACTCTGACAAAATTCTACCTTGCATTTAAACTAAATTCACTTGGACTCTGCCTGTTTTTTCTTCTGCTGTTCTCAGTAACCAGGAAGATAGTCACAGTCTCAGTTTCTCTGGGTGGCATCTTAATTATTGTCGATTTACTGATTTTGAGTGACAAAACATAGCTCATGTCAGGGTTTAAATGCTCAATAAATTAATAAATAAATTAAGATTAGGATTAATGAAGGAAGAGGACAAATGAGGTGGACCCAACAATTATTGGTCCTGTATTCCAAATAAACATTAGGAATATGCACGTGTGTTAGTATATGTAGATATATTTGAATTAGAACCTTATTTATCTAGTCACTGTTCCTTTTTCTTAAAAAATATATTTCAACAGTTAAGAAAATAACCACCAGAACTATATCCTGTTAGCTTTGCTGTGGTAGCTTTAAAGTAGGCAGCAAATAAGTCTTTGCTAATAGATGGAACAGATCTGTATTTGTCTAGGATAACAACACAATGATGGATTTATGAAATCGATGCAATTTATGTCTTCTCCCAATTTACATTCCTTCCATTGATTCATTTAGTTTCATATATTGTTAATGTATACATTCCTAAATTTTGCATTATTTTCTAAATTTTGTATGAATTTCTCATAAATATTTTATTAAGTATTCCTTATGGCTTTGGCTATAAAACTAACTTGTAAAAAAATTCTGGAGTTTCCCTTACACAGTCTAAAAGATATGACTACTTAATACCTTCTTCAGTGAGGCCTTAAGAAAGCACAGAAGCTCATCTGAGACTGGCTAGATCTATCATCCTGGTATCAAGCTGACTTCCCTTTCAATATGGGTCTATATGTTTCCTTTTCCATTTTATTAAGTCTATCAACTTATTACAGATCTTATTGCTGTCTCACTTTGTTTTTCTCCTACTGTGAAAGGAAATACATTTTCTTTGTTCTTCCTTTGCACTAATGTATGCTGCCTGTGTTAACCAGACTTAATGAAAACAATCACAATTTTCTCAGGTTTGTTTCTCCCTACTGTGTACTTGAGATGAGAAACTCACTTTCCTGTGTACAGTGCAGTACCTTTAATTGGAAAGAAAAGGAAATCGCCAGTGACATTTCTAATACTATCAGTCGTCTGCCTCTTTCCTCAGGCCCAGCTTATAATAAATCAATTGTGAATCTAACCATGAATAGGGAGGGGCGACTAGATTTGCTAATGGGCCCCTTAACAAAAAGACAGGTATATTTCACCCTGCCTATCACAGATTTAGAAGTGTTAACTTGATTTATTGGAGCAGATGAAAATGTTTGAGGCTATTCCTTATCCTTTACCAAATAATCAAGTATTGCCGATTTAGTTCATGGGGAATTGGGCATTGGCATCTTTCTGGTGTTTTGCAAGCTTTGCCTGAGGTGGAGGTAGTATGGATTATAGAATGTGGATTTTAGGGGCTTAGCTCTGTTCCATAGAACACAAAATGAATGTTTCTTTAGAGATTCAACGTCTCCGACAGCTCCTTTTCCCCGTCTGTTTCGTGATCAGGACATCTTGAAACCTGTTCATAGTTTTTAAAGTGTCACAAGCTGAGAGAAATTCAGAAAATCAGGCTGTATGGAAATACCCACTAGCATTTAATTTAAGATGTTAGAAACAGTCAAATTGTATAGGTTCCTGTAGTATTTAACGTTGTGACCCAGTTCACAAATGTTCCATACCATTTTGATTTGAAATTCATAGTACCAAAATAAAATAAGCATTAAATATCCTACAGCCATGTTTTAAAATATATGCTCTCTGTTGTAAAGTATAGTTTGTGAGCTACTAAGAAGATTCTTTTTTACTGAGGGAAAATTAATCCTGAGCTTGTTTTAAAGAGCAACTTATTTTTTCATTTTTATCAAATGGCACCAAGATAATGAGAGGCTAACCACAAAATTAGTGTTCATAAAACTGTAAAAATAAGGCAAATGTTATTGCATTTACTCAAAAGCAGCATTTAGTGCTTTCTTGATTCTCTTGAGGAATGCTGCATTCTTACAAAGTATAGTCTTGGGTCACAGATAAATAAAATTATTTCAGCAAACACACTTCCTGCCCTCTAGGAGCTGACAATCAAAGAGTTTTTCAGATATTTCATTAATGAAAGAACATTTGTTAAAGCTTCTTTAACTCCCTAGAAGCTATGTGTATTTTCATCTTGATTAAATTTATATGAAGCCTGCATTGGCCCATTTTAAATAACTTTAATTTATTCAAACCTTTGGTTTTTTCTAGTATTCATTAAAATTAAAACAATGTAAAATTTCATTAACATTTTAAAAATATCAGTTTATCTTACTGTATTTGTACAGATATTATTTTTCTTATAGCTAAAAAATTATATACAAAATATTGGGAACTAACAGCCGGCTTGGCAGAGGCTTGGGTTATGGTGCACTGAGATCACAGACTATGGTCTCTGTTACACACGCACACACAGACACACACATGTGTGTCTTGCTCCACCTCTTACCAATCATAAGATGCTGAGATGCTGAGAAACTTGCTCCACCGCTTACCAATCATGAGATGCTGAGCAAAGTTTCTAATCTAAGTCCTATTCCAGGCTAGTGCTGGAGCAATAGTGCAGAATATAGTACAGGGGATAGACTTAAACAGATCATTGTAATACAGCGTGTGATGACAGAAGTCTTTTCAAAGCACATAAGAGTGCAAAGCAGGGGTAACTGTGTAGGGGGCATGATAGGTAGCACCTCCCGCTTAACTTGGCCACTTTCTGCTATCCATTAACCCCTCTCTGTCCTCCTGCTTAAACTTCATGGTTCAATCATTTCAATACTTCTTTCACCCTCTGACAAACACACAATGTTGGAAAACCCAGTGATCCACTTGGCCTGTGCCTGTACCCAGGGAGTTGGGCCCTCGTGGGTAGGACGGTTAGCAGGAGAGCCTGGCGTGGGTATATACCTACCTTACCAGGCACAGTGGCACCTGCAGCCCTATCTGTACTCTGTCCCCACTCCCACTTCCCTCTCCTTCACTGGCTCTGACTTCCTCACTTTCCTCGGATCCTCCTCTCAAACTCAAAGAGAAGACCTTGCCTTGGGTTTCTTAGAGTACATATAAGTGAGATAACATGAAGAGGCAGAGAGTGTAAGGATACACTCCTGATACACAGATGGGCACCTGAGATTGTCTGGAAAGGGAAGAAGAGCAGAAGGTCGAGAAACACCAGCAAAGAGGGTCCAGGGTGAGGGGAACTGAGGAAGGAGCCTGGGAATGCAGGGTGGGCAAAGTCAGAGGAGGAGGAGGAGGAGGTGTGACTGAAACCAATACCAAAAAAGTGTGCCCAATAAGTGAGAGCTGCCCAGTACTACAGGGACATCAAAGTTTATAGTATTTCCACTTCATTTTTCAATCAGGAAAACTTTAGTGCAAGTAGTTTCAGGGGAGTGGAAGAAGGTAGAAACTAGAATATAGTAGTTTAAGATGTGATTGGAAAGTGAGGAAGAAGTTGGGATAAAGGCTGTCTTAGTTTGATACTCAGGAACAGACGTGCTATTTGAACTTCATTCCTTGAATCTGAGTTTACCAAACAACTTTCCATTTATTATGTGGCTTCCGATATACTTCTACCTATAGAAAAAGAATGTGCTATTTCTGGGTATATATATTTTAGTCCATGTAACAACCACATTTTTTCATTGTAAATTAATCAGTCACATTTTAGTTGTAGGAAGAAAAAAGATGATTAGGAAGGAAAGAAAAAGAAGGAAGAAGGAAGTCTGGCTGATTCTCTAAGAGAGTAGCTAGAAGAGGAAATTCAATGTCAAAGGAAGGATTTTTTTTTTGTTTGTTTAAAGATGCAAGTGCATTAAG